GGCAGCGCCGGCGGCGGGGGGGACCGAGCGGGGCTCGGCGGCACCGGGCACGGCCACACCGGGCACGGGCACACCGGGCACGGCGACACCGGGCACGGGCACGGCGACACCGGGCACGGCGGCACCGGGCACGGCCACACCGGGCACGGCGACACCGGGCACGGGCACGGCGACACCGGCGGCACCGGCCGAGCATCCCCCGGTAGGAGCGCGCAGCATCCCCGCTCCCCCGCCGGCGCTGCCCATCCCCGCTCCTCCGCTCCCCATCCCGGTTCTCCATCCCGGTTCTCCCATTCGCCGTTCTCCCATTCCCGGTTCTCCGTTCCCGGTTCTCCATCCCGGTTCTCCGTTCCCGGTTCTCCATCCCGGTTCTCCATCCCGGCTCTCCATCCCGGTTTCCCCAGCCCCGTTCCCGGTTCCCGGCTCTCCCCTGCCGGTTCCCCGCTCCCGGCCTCCGTTCCCGGCTCTCCCCTGCCGGTGCTCCCACCCCCGGTGCCCGGATCCATCTTGGCTCCGGTGCTGCCTGCGCAGCCGCCGGCTACCGGGGGGCGGGGGGAGGCCGGGGCGNNNNGGGCGGCCGCCGGGGCTGCGGCCGCTACCGGGGGCCGCGGGAGGCACCGGCGCCGCCGGGAACCGGGGCCGGGGGAGCCGCGGGGGCTCCGGGCTACGGGAGGCGCCGGGAACCGGGGCCGCGGGAGGGACGGGGGGCTCCGGGAGGGACCGGGGGCTACCGGAGGGACCGGGAAGGACCGGGGGCTACCGGAGGGACCGGGGGCTACCTGAGGGAGCCGGGGGCTAGCAGAGGGACCGGGGGCTAGCGGAAGGACCGGGAGGGACCGGGGGGCTCCGGGAAGGAGCCGGGGGCTGGCGGAGGGGCCGGGCCGGGCCGGGCTGAGCCGCGCTGCCGGTGCCCAGGGGCGATGGAGCCGCCGCGGAGCCTCCCGGGGCTGGAGCGGGAGCGCGGCGCGCTGGACGCGGCCGGAGGGGCCGGGGCTGCGGCCGCTACCGGGGGCCGCGGGAGGCACCGGCGCCGCCGGGAACCGGGGCCGGGGGAGCCGCGGGGGCTCCGGGCTACGGGAGGCGCCGGGAACCGGGGCCGCGGGAGGGACGGGGGGCTCCGGGAGGGACCGGGGGCTACCGGAGGGACCGGGAAGGACCGGGGGCTACCGGAGGGACCGGGGGCTACCGGAGGGAGCCGGGGGCTAGCAGAGGGACCGGGGGCTAGCAGAGGGACCGGGGGCTAGCGGAAGGACCGGGAGGGACCGGGGGGCTCCGGGAAGGAGCCGGGGGCTGGCGGAGGGGCCGGGCCGGGCCGGGCTGAGCCGCGCTGCCGGTGCCCAGGGGCGATGGAGCCGCCGCGGAGCCTCCCGGGGCTGGAGCGGGAGCGCGGCGCGCTGGACGCGGCCGGAGGGTGCCCGTCCCCGCTGGACGCCAAGGCCGTGCCCGGCAGGAAGGTCTGGGTCAAGCTGCGGGCGCTGTGAGTGACCCCCGGCCGCGGGACCCCCTCCCCAAAGAGAGAGACCCCCCCCAAAGTGAGACACCCCCCCCAAAGAGAGAGACATCAGAGGGAC